GGTCTCAGCCACTTTTTTTTTTTTTTTTTTGGTCTGATCTTTTTTTTTTTTTATTGGTTGTTCAAAACATTACAAAGCTCTTGACATATCATATTTCATACATTAGATTCAAGTTAGTTATGAACTCCCAATTTTATCCAAAATACAGATTGCAGAATCACATCGGTTACACATCCACATTTTTACATAATGCCCTATTAGTAACTGTTGTATTCTGCTACCTTTCCTATCCTCTACTATCCCCCCTCCCCTCCCCTCCCATCTTCTCTCTCTACCCCATCTACTGTAATTCATTTCTCTCCTTGTTTATTTTCCCATTCCCCTCACAACCTCTTATATGTAATTTTGTATAACAATGAGGGTCTCCCTCCATTACCATGAAATTTCCCTTTTCTCTCCCTTTCCCTCCCACCTCATGTCTCTGTTTAATGTTAATCTTTTCTTCCTGCTCTTCCTCCCTGCTCTGTTCTTAGTTGCTCTCTCAGCCACTTTTAAATCTCAACTGGAGAATGACTAAGATTCCTGATCTCAGTGATCCTTTTAACATGTGAGTTAATCCATGTTGCTGCTCTGCTCAAAGCCTCCACATGGCTTCCCACTTCTCCCCAGGCCTGACAAGGTGGACCCTCTTCCCAAGACCCCTCTGAACTCACCTGCTGCTTCTCTCCCCCATGGAATCTAGTCCAACAACACTGGCCTCTGTGCTTCCTCACACCTCAGCACACTGCCAGCTCTGCATGGGCTCCTCCTGCAGGAATCCTTCTTCTAAATGGTACTACAACTCACTCCTCCTTCTCCAGGGTTATGTTCCCATCTACACACCACCTCACTGAACACTGCTGCCTGCCACACCTGCCTCCCATGCTCCTGACTGCCCACACCCTGCCCTGCTGCATTTCCCATCCTGGTCATCTCCTCCAATAAACTTAGGCCTCTCTACCTACTATTACTCACTCTCTCCAACTAAAAGGCAAACTTTATGACAGAATTTCTGTCTGATTCTTTCATAGAATTCCACCTAACAATCAACATTTCATTAATAGTTCAGGAATAAAATGAAAGAATTAATGCTTGCAGCACATACACAAAAAAAGGCAAGAAAACAAAAATTGAGGGAAAATATACTTTCAAATGTTTTATATCCTGCTGTTTAAAACCACAAAGTAAGACCAATGGGGACACTCACCCATGGACAGCTGGACAAGGAGAAGCAGGGAAGTGAGACAGCAGAGCAAGGAGTGACTGTAGCACCCTTCCATATCTTTAGAGCTGGGGAGAGAGATGGGGATGAGGGCCAAGAACTGCAGGCAGGAGGCAGGTCCAGCCCAGAGCTCCAGCACCTCAGCATAGAGAGCAGGGCTCAGGGCTGGACAGCAGTCCCCTGCTAGAGCAAAGCATTTCCTAGTGGCACATCATACTAAGAAGATGCTAGGCCCCCCACAACCCTGACACTGACAAACAGCTGAGCCCAGGATCCTTCCAGCTCTTCTGAGAAGATTGTGGTATCAGGAAACCATTAGAGTTCCCTGGTAAGAAAATGTTCCTTTCTTTCCCAGGCCAACTCAGGGCAGCTCTACTCATCCCAGAACACCAGACTCTTCCATTCCCCATACCTGGAGCTCTGTGGTGGAAGCCATTCCTATATCTCTCTGTTATTCACACACCACTCATGACCCCCCAGAAAGGAGGGCCCAGATTCAGGGCTCTCATCAGGAAGGACATCCAGCTCCTGCTTCTCTCTTGTTCTGCCCCCTAGTTATGCCCAGGTTTGGCCTGGGCAGTGTCAGAGACACACACATCCTCAAGGAGGCTGTGGTGCCCATCACAGGAGCCCAGAACCCTGCCCTGCCTTTTTAGATGTGGAGTTCACCTAAACCTGAATCTCAGCCCAGTCCCTTCCACTGTGGGCTCAGGACATGGTGCTTCATTGGCCGCACATATCCCCACCAACAGGTTTCTCCTTTCCTTCTGTTTCTTCAAGAAAGATTTCATCCTGAGAGGTAAGGGACCCTTCCTGGAGACAGAGCATAGAGCTAATGAGCCCTGGTCAGAGAAAAGACCCCAAATCACCTACTGTTTGGAAGTGGCAGGGAGAAGGCAGTCTGTGGTATTGGGAAGAACAAATTCTGGGAGCCAACTTCTAGGCTGCCCTCCAGACTCAGCCACTCTCCAAATGAACTTCTTGGCCTCCATTTCCTTATCTGTATGATGGGCATAGTCACAACATCTACCCCCCAAGTTTGTAATGAAAATGAGGTGAATTTATAGTCACTACATGTAATTAGAACAGGGCCTGGGCCCAGAAAATGTTACAGAAATATCATTAAAACAAATGAATATAGGAACAACCCTCATTAAGCTTCTTCTGGTTCTTCCTAGAACAAGACTGTCTCACCTACCCACTCCCACTGCCTCTCGCACCAGCTCATCCGCAGCTTCTTTCTGCCACCAGCTTCTCCCTGGTTTCCTCCTCTTAGGTCAGAGGTATCTTCAAAGCCAACTTACCTGCTTCTGTGTTCTCCCACCTATGAAAGGCTGTGACTTCCTGGAGCGTCCCTAAACACAGCAGCTGGAGATAGGTCAGAGTCACAAGGACCCCAGCAGGCCCCAAAGCTGCCCTCAGAATTTGCAGCTGCCCCAAACTGCACTTAGAGCCCTACCCTCTGCTTCCGAATCCAATGCTGGGGTCCCAAATTCCTCATTTCCAAAAGGCAGTTGGTCCCCAGGAATAGGGGGAAAAAGCAGAGCCAGACATAAGTTGCAGTGATCTCTGCAGAGTCTCTGACACGGGGACCCCACTAAGCCCTCCCAGTTAGAGGAGCAACCCCTCTCTGGTTCCTTCCACCATCTAAAGCGAAAGCTTGCAAAGGGAGCCTGGGCAGAGTGTGCCCTGCCCTCTGGACATTGCTCCCTTTACCAGGAAGAAAGCAGCACAGCAGAGCAGCAAAAAGAGGGTACCCACAATTTTCCTGGAACACTGCAGAACAACCCACTTAGAGGTGAAATGCCACAACCACCCCCACAATGCCACCACCAATCCCTGCCCTAAGGGCAAACTGTAACTTGGAAATGTTAGGGACATGATACAAAAAGAAGAAAACAAAATTATATGGAATCCCTACTAATTATCAAGAGCTGTGCTACATAAATTTTACTTATGGTTCTCATTATTACAATTGCAGAGATAAAGCCATGAGCACTGCCATCTGATAATATCAATCTAGTAACTTCCTAGAGGAGGGAGAGGCTAGATGTGCCAGGAGACTGCCTCCCACCACCACATCTCCAGCCCAGCCCAGCCCCCTGCCCCAGGTAACTCAAGTGAGCAAGATCCTGAAAGGGACCTTGGACTCTCAGTTGCCTCAATTACATGGCCAGAAAGCTTATCTCACCCTGACCTGAGCATTCTCCCTCCCAAGGTGCACTTTGCCTTCCATTTGAGGAGGAGGGGGTGGAAGTGGTGACAAAGTGCAGGTCAGGTCTCCTTAAAGAACACTGGCAGAATACCTGACCAGCACTGGCAGGGGACACCGAACATCAGCACTGTCCTCTCCCAGCTCATCAGGATCGCCATTCACCTGCTTTGACAAGAAACACTATTCAGTAAACTACAAATAATTTTCTTGTATAAACTTAAATGATCCTAATACTAATGAGGTTAATATTAACTTTCTTTTATGACCAACATGTAATAAATACCTCTTATCTTTTCCCATATTAAATGTTTTCTAAATAGCTTCGGATAATAGCCAAAACCATAAAACAATGGTTAATGTAAAATGTATTAAATTCATTGAGATTCTAAAAATGTGACAGTTGATATAAAGTATTTAACTCTCCCATACCCCCAATTCAGTTCATACTGCGGATTGAACACATCCTGAAATATCCAACCACCAGTATCTGAGAGACCTCCTTATGCCTCTCTCTCTTAGTGGAGCCTGGCCCTGGCCCAGCCCCACCCTGAATTCAGCTACTGAGCCCTCCTGACTGGAGCACCTGCCCCATCACCTTCTGCATGAGCGAATCACCTGTTCCTCATCTGAGATTCCAGGGACATAAAGTATCCCTCCCACTAAAGCCCTGAGATAGAGAAGGGTAAGGGAGTGAGGCTAGAGGGAGAAAAATATACATGCCTATAGAGAATTGAGTGAAATGTATTAGACTAATGAAAAGCAAACAATAAATAAAAATTTAAAAGGAAAAGACAGCCAACTGAGAGAAAGCTACCATAAAAAGAAAGGAGCAGGGCTGTGTGTGTGGCTCAGTGGTGGAGCCCTTGGCCAGCACATGTGAGGCACTGGGTTTGATCCTCTGCACCACATAAAAGTAAATGAAATAAAGGTATTGTGTTCATCTACAACTAATTTTTTTTTTTAAGAAAAGGGAGGCTGGAAGGTCAGACCTGGCATTTGGTCTGCCTATTAGGAGATGTGACACCAGAACGGACACATGGGCCCAGAGTATCTGAAACATGTTCCCCAGTTACTCCAAGTCAGATCAGTTGCAGAGAGCCAGCACAGGCACTGACCATATGTGTGACCCATCAGTGACCTGGAAAGAATTCACTGATGTTCCCAATCCCAGGTAGGTCAGGCCCATGTATGTTCAAGGGTGAAACAGGTGAGTCCCAGTGGAGGGATTTCAGAACTGGATCATGGAAAAAGGCCTAGAGGTCTCAAAGGTTGACCTCTGCCCCTCAGAGAAGTAGAGGGGGGCCCAGGGCAAGAGAGTCCCTGTCTAGCCCCAAGAGGCACATTCTAACACTCCCTAGAATGGTGCACACCTTGTTCCTGTCCTGTCACAGAGACTCCTCCTCTCAGGCACAGACAGGGCCTCTGCTCTCCAATAACCACCAAGAAATACTTCGACACACCATTCACTGAGGGTCATTTTACCTTGAACATTTTATACCTCATTCCCATGATGATTTAGTACAATACCATGAGGTGGTTCTCACTGTCCTCATTCTAGAGCTGAAGGATGGTGTCTCTACAATAGTGGAAGATATCCAAGGTCACAGGGTCACATGGACAAACACTGACAGGGGCAGGTCTGTCCCAAGGCACAGTCTAAATCTGAAAGAGTTGGGGGCACCAGCACTTGGAATGCTCCAGGGACCTGGGGGGGGCGGTGGGCAAAAGGGAAGGTAAAGAGTACATCAGAACTTCTATCATAAAAATTTTACCCTTATATCTATTTGTTCTTATACGCTGAATAATATGTGTACATATTTGTTAGCTGCATTTTCAAAATACATAACTTTTAAGGAGGGCATGTGAGGTTGGTGTTGTGGTTCAGTGGTAGAGCGCTTGCCTAGCATGTGTGAGGCACCTAGTCCAACTGTCAGCCCCACATATAAATAAATAAAATAAAAGTTCATTGACAAATAAAAAAATATTTTTTTTAAAAAAAGGAGGGCATGTCCAGAACCATTTGGAAACTCCCTCCCAGAGAGGAAGGAACGACAAGATCCAGCAAGAGGGTGCACCATGGATGCCAGATCACTCTTGGGCCAATGGAAAGGCCACCCAGGCAGTATCACCCGGTTTCCTCGGCTTCTGCTGCCCCCTTGTGGCTAGAATGTGGCAGAGAGAAAGGCAATTTCCAGAAGGAAGACAGAGAAGGTATGAAGGTGCAGACAAGAAATCTTAAAACTGTGGTGCTAGGGTTGTGACTCAGGGGTAGTGAGCTTACCTAGCATGTGCGAGGCATTAGGTTCAATCCTCAGCACCACATTAAAAAAAGCATGTGAATAAAATCAAGTTTTAAAAAAAGTAATCTTAAAAATGTGGAAGGGATTAAAGGAAACAAGACATAAATAAAATGCCAGATGCTGTAGGATTCCAAATATGTGAAGGTAAGAATAGACAGATGGAAGCTGTGGTGACAGAGTCAGATGAGGAGCTCTCTGGCAGGCTGAGGAGGTAGTTAAGACAAGAAGAGGTATCAGGGTGCCTCCTGGGGTGAGGGAAGGTTTCATATCTTAATTTGGGG